AGCTGAAACATGAGGGTGACTGCCGCTCAGTGACCATTGTTGACAACGAGATAAGATTTATACATTCAGAACTTAACAGGACCTTAGAGCTGGGGTCTCGAGTTGGGGGTGCAGTCAAACATCACAAGAGGAGAACCCCCTGTGCCCCTGTGGAGGTGAGGGTGGCAGCCTCCCGGGTACCCCCACAACTGAGGGGTGGGCTAGGAAAGGAGCGACCAGTGAGGATGCGAGGACAAGTCCAAGGCCAAGCAAGCAAAGAGTTTCAAGAAGTACTGCACAGTTGCCAGTGCAGGAGAGACGTCTGGGGAGAGACGAAGGCCAGAGCACGTGCCCCGATCTGTTTCCTGGGAATCCCTAGGAAACTGGTCCCTACCAGAGAAGAGAAGGGGTGCCGGGCAGCAGTGGGGACGGGCTGCAGGCTGCGGCAGACAAAGGCGTGAGCACGGAGAAAGGGAAGGTGGTGCGACTCGGCCTCATTGTTGAGAAGCCTGGATCCGAAGGGCAGGGGAAGGAAGGACTCGATACGTCTGTGGGGTGACGGGTGAGGATCTGGTGAGGATCGGGAGGGCCTCAGAGCTTTGGAAACAACCTGGATGAGGGGTGTTGAGCACACAGGAGAGGGGGCCCCTGGACAGGTGGGGGTGTTGTGGGAAGGAAGGCATGGGTAGGAATTAACCTCGGCCCCGGCAGAGCTGCGCCTGCCTTTGCAGACCAGAGAGAAGGGGGCGGGGACAGACAGAGATGAACGGATGGAAGACTTCACAGCAGAGGTCAAAGCTTTGAAGGCAGCAGGAGTTGAGGCTGTCTCCTGAGTGTGAGGGAGGGGCGCTGGAGAAGTGGGAGTGGCTTGGGATAACTGCTCAGAGCCATAGCGGCAGCGACAAGATGACACAGGGGCAGGCCAGGCTGCCCAGCTGGCTCCAGCAGTGCTTGTCGGCACGTGGGCCCTGTGCACTGTGCCCGTGACCATGGCTGGGTCTGGGCTCAGAGAGTCAGCTGTGCTGTGAGGGCGAGAAGGAAGTGGGGACGGCCCACGGCTTTAACACCACTCCTACAGGGCCATGGTCCTGGGCGGCAGGGAGGGGAGGCCGGGCAAGCAGCAGGGGCCAGGGGGAGCGCGCCAACCCCCGGGCAGCCCTGACACCACCTGTGGCCAGATGTTAAGGGAGACTCCTGGACAAAGTGCAGCTGCCACCACCAGGTCCGTAAACTCCGTCCCCAGGGGCCACGCGGGTAATTTAGTGGCTCCGTCTCCAGAAGCGTGTGCATTTATCAGCAGCAGCTGCATGATTCCGGGCTGTAAATCACCAGGCTTTAGGTGTATTTCTTTGGAGCTGACATTGCCTTATAAATAATACGGGGACTGCTTTTATTTTCTTGGCAAAGGACTGCTTTCTTCCCCGGCTCTGTTTTTAGAGTGACCTTCTTTCTCCGTCAAAATCGAAAACGTCCGAGAGGCTCATTTATCGGGCCCTGCCGTGTGCCAGTAAGACAGGAACAGGTGTATAGGTATCCCGTTCTCCACTGTGATAGAGTCTCCTGGCAGAAAGGATGTGGGGGCAAATTTAAAAGGCAAATGCCTTCTTGACTAGAGAATCATTTGCCCGTGGGCACAAGGATGTGTGTATGTGTGTGTGTGTGTTTTTCTGAAGCTTGACAGGTTCACAGCAAATATCTAGAAGGCACCCAAAACTGAGATAAGTAAACCACAACAAGTTTTGTTATTTAAACGCCTAAAAGAAAGAGATAGACTTGTGTTTATCCCTAAGGAAAGATCCCTAAGACACATGAGGGCATTTCAAAAAGTTCATGCAAGGATGGAATTAGAAGTTGGAATTGATGTTCGTAAAATTTTGTTCATAACACACGGAAAATGTATTATAAAAAAATCCATGCATACGTTTCAAAAAATATTTGCAGCAAAATAAACGCATATGTTTGATTCCATTTTTCCATGAGCGCTTTGAAATACCCTGGTTAAGAGAAGGACACACATTGTAAGGAATTTATAAGTAGCCTACACAATATAGTATCATCCCATTCATGATTTTTAGAAGCCCACAAATATGCTGCATGCTACAAGTACATGAATGCATATATATTTGTAAATACAGAGAAAGGTGTGGAAGGGTGCACACCAGACTGAAGAGGGTGGATCCCACTGGGAAAGGAGCTAAGATTGTCGTGGTGGCCAAGGCCCAGGGAGCTTTAGCCTTCTGCTGTGTTTTAAGTTCTTGAAGAGGTGAAGTAGTCTGGATTACTTTTGCAATGAAAAGAAAAAAGCTTCAAGTCCAGGTTCCTGGACTCTGCCAGTCCCTGCTGCTGATCTGACCATGCAGAGCTCAGTCGCCATCGACCCTGGAGCAAGTTGGACCCCTCATCTGTGGTCATTTCCTACTCAGGACGTCCAGAAGGACCGGATTGTAAACGTATTCCGTGGAAGAGTTTGGGGATTTTCAGGGCTTAATGCTATGGGTTCTGGCACTCGGCAGGCACTCCCTAAAGTTCTTTTGGCTGAATGTTGAATAACAACCCTTTGGGCAGATTCAGCGGTAAGAAGAGTCCAGATTTTTTGCCGGCAAACTTTGCTGGATGAGTAACTGACACATGGCAGAGAAACACGGCAGTGTTGCAAACACAAATACAGGCTTTGGAGAGATCCTAACCCAAGTTCAAGCCCCAGTTCTTCCATGCACCTGCCGTGGGACATCGAGTGAAGTACTAACCGTCTCTGAATCAATGCTGTGCTGTGATCAAATACAGTTAGAGTTTCTGAGGCAGTCTTGCTGCTAAGGTCAGTTGTTCACTCAACAAACACAAGCACCAACAGTGAGCCAGCCCTGGGGATATCGACATAGACAAGACAGACCAGGGGCCCCTACTTAAACAATGGGTAGCTGTCTTACTTACTGCCCTTTCAATATTCATGGTGCAGGCACCCCCACTCTCAGCTGTGGCTGGGCACGCCTGGGGACGTGGGAGTCGAGAGCACAGTAAAAGGGGAGGAGGGGCAGAGGACCCGCCCTGCCTGAGGCGCTGCAGCAGGGGCTGGGCTGAGCCCACCTACCCATGCATCAGTTGCCCTCCTCTCTCTGGGCCTCGGATTCCTCTTCTGCAAAGTATGGCCAGACAACGACATCCGTCTCTCAGATGCCTCTGGCATCAGACAGACTCCAGTGCTTATAAAGTGGCTGATGTTTCTGACCTCCTTCTAGGAGTCAGGTTCTGAGTGTCACTATGTTCCCCTGACAACAACTCTGACTGAGGAGACGCTGAGAAGAGCTGTTAAACAACCTGCCCCGGGCTTCACAGTGGCAGAGATGCAAATGAAGGGTTGGAATCTCCAGGCCCTGACGTCAGAACATGGCACCTTACCAACCCCCAGTCAAACGGGTGCCAACAACTTAGGGTACAAATTCACAGGTGAAGGCTCCTCTCACACACTCTTAATTTTGCAGTGTGGAGAGGGGCAGGCATTCAGCTGAGTAGTCAAGGCACCAGAGAGGATGCCTGCATCCCACATCGAAGTAGCTGGGTTTGACACCCAACTCCAGCTCCTGACTCCAGCTCCCCGTGGGTGCAGACCCAAGCAGACAGCAGGTGGTGGCTCAAGGAGCTGGGTCCTTGCTACTCCACGTTGGAGACCTGGATTGAGTTCTTGGCTCTTGGAGGTCTGATCCCAACCTAGCCTTGGCTGTTGTGGGCATTTAGGGAGTGAGCTAGGGGACAATGCTCTCCAATCAATTAAAAAAATTTTTAAACAAAATCTTGGATTTGATGTTAATTAGCACTTGCATTGTGCTCTGGCTGTCTGTGGTTCTGCTTCTGCTCCTTACACTGGTGGAGGGAAGAGGACAGAGGTATTTAGTTATCGAGAGAGAAGAGGCCTCACCACTTTCACAGAATTGCGCTTGTTACTCCACACAGACCTTTGCTTCTCATTAGGAGCAGTCATCAGCTAATCTCGCTTTAATTAACTCCCCAGATGTACCACCATGCGCACAGCCCTTCTTTTGATATTTTCCACATCAAACCTATCTGCAGACTTGTGCCAGGCATTTACCGTGTGCCAAATATGCCCAAAAGGTTCCCATGAACCCCGCCCCCGCCCCCCGCTTCAGAGCTGATGGGTCCCAAGTCAGCAAGGGGCTGTCGGGCTGGCTCCGGTAGCCTGTGATTTTCCCTTCTATCTTATCGCGTTGGTCCTTCTGTTATCACAGAAGCGAGGTGTGTTCCATCTTAATTACGTGTCTGTGCGAGCCCTCCTTTCTGATTTATGGCCATTACCTCCTAATTGCAAGAGGGCCGCCCCTGAAAATGTAAACCGGGTAGAGCTCAGAGAAACGGAGCTGAAAAGCGAGCGGGAAGATGGATGTCAGTCCAGCAGCCGAGGGTGCCAAATCCCAGGCTCATTTGTGAGGGCAACCTGTCAGAAATCCTGCAGACCCCGTCCCATGTCGTGGCCAAACTCATCTCCCTCTGTGGTAGCGGAATTGGAAATCCTGACCTTCAGTGAAGCTAAAACCCCCAAATGGGAATAATGCACCCCAACTTCCTTTATAATTACACCCTATTAAAGAGAACTCAAGTGACTATATTTACAAAGAAAATTTTGACTGTTAACTACCCATAAATGGAAAACTAGTCTGGTTTGACTTATAGAGAGGCAGCTACAATGTTAATTTTTAAAATGCCCATTCTGTGCTATCCTGAATCATATGGAAAACCATGCTTTGAGGAAGAGTCCATCAGAGCTGCATCGTAAGCATTTGGGTCAGGAAATAGAATTGCAGTCCCTGGTTTTCAGAAGAAGAAGCGGAGACTCAAGAGTGACCTGCCTGATGTCCAGAGCTAGAGGGTGGAAGGGTCACACTCAGACTCTAAGCACCAGGCTTGGCATTGCCGAGGCCAGAGGAAATAGACGGCCCCACCACCAGCCTGCACAGTCTGATGTCCTTGGCACCATCGGCCATGTGGAGGTGGCACAGAGGGACTCTTACCTGGGACTGGGGATGCGGCTACTGATGGTGGACAGTCGCGAGGGGCTCCTCATGGTGTCTGCAGCCAGGGAGAGGGTGCAGCTCGACCAGGACTGCAGGCTGCCCTCGGGCTGGGAGCTGATGACGGAGACGTTGTCCCTAGAATCAGAAAGCAGGCCACACGGTCTTTACAATGACAACTGCAGTAGCAGCAATAACTAGACACTTAGCGCCTATCCTGAAGCAGCCACTGCACTAAGTGCTGTGCATACATTCCCTCATTCCCACGCCTGGGAGGTGGGAGCCACTGCTGTCCCCTTATATGGACGGAAGCACTGGGATTTGGAGAGGCCAACCTTAGCCTTGGCCAAAGTGCTCCAGGTAGTGATGCGGTTGGGGTTGTAAATCCCATCCCTTTTTACTTCAATACTCGTGTCACTAACTGCCATACTCCTCCTTGAGCACAAACACAATCAAGGCCTCCCGGGCTGGCGCTGCAGCTCACTAGACTAATCCTCTGCCTGCGGCGCCGGTACCCTGAGTTCTAGTCCTGGCTGGGGCATCAGATTCTGTCCCGGTTGCTCTTCTTCCAGTCCAGCTCTCTGCTTTGGCCTGGGAAGGCAGTGGAGGATGGCCCAAGTGCTTGGGCCCTGCACCCGCATGGGAGACCAGGAGAAGCACCTGGCTCTGGCTACGGATCCGCGCAGCATGGCGGCCATTTGGGGGGTGAACCAATGGAAGGAAGACCTTTCTCTCTGTCTTTCTCACTGTCTAACTCTGCCTGTCAAAAAAAAAAAAAAAATCAAGGCCTCCCCCGTGTGGGGGTATAAAGTCTGGCACTGAATTTTGTAGCAAATGGTATGTTCAAGGAATATGTCTAGTGTGAAGATCTTCACTCTCTCTATTAGAATATATAGAATATTTATATATATGGTTGGTTGGTTGATAGGGTCCTCTATGCCAGCTAGCATGGGTGGGGCAGCTGTATTAATGAACTTAACCCTGACGCTATTCTCAAGGCTCCAGTCTAGCAGAATCTCTCTATCCAGCCGTCTATCTATCTATACCTCCTCCATAAAAGAAAGTAGATAAACGTGTGTGTGCGTGTGTGTGTGTGAACAACTACTGATGCAACAGGAGGGCAGTGGGTAGGCCTTAAGGGTCATAGGGACTGAGCCTTGATGCACTTCTGGGAGACATGCAGGAAGGCCTCAGAGAGTGGCAGCTGACACCTCCTTTCAGGGTTAGGGCTGTGCCGTGCAGAGGCTGGAGAAGGAAACCGTAGGCGTGGAGGTCCTAAAAGATCAGGACGCAGACCGCGTGGAAAGCAGGGCCTGCACGTGGAGCAGGCAGTGAGGGACGGAACCTGCAGGACACAAAGGTCTGTAAAACGTCCCCCGTGGGCGATGTGAGCCGGTGAAGGCGGCCCAAAGGCACGGGTGCCTCTGTGTACAGGGGCTCCATTCTGGGCCCTCTGCGCTCCGTGCTGCCATGGCCACTGCTGATGTTCACGCCACTCGAGTGGGCGTGAACAGGACACAGAGCCCGGGGCTCACCCCTGTAAGCTGCTCCTGTCCACTCCCGGTTAACTTACAGCTCTCTTTGGCCACCAGCGCCACAATCCACTGCCGTCTGGACGCTAAAAGGAATCACAGGAAAGAGTCTGTTACACGCGGGCCTCTAGGGCCTGGGGAACGTGGCTGCCAACAGCAGAGGCTCGGGCTTGAGTCCCACCTCCCGCCTTTGCTGCTGCGTGATAGAGGCAAAGTTGCTCGCTTTCTCTGAGCCTCATCTTTCCTTCTTTTTTCTTTTCTTTCTTTCTTTTTTTTTTTTATATATATCTGGACTGTGGCTGGCAATGAGGCCCTGACTCTGGAGCTGTGGCGTGGACTCAGTAAGTTAACCCCTGTAAATAGCTCCATGTGGTTCCTGGCAGGCACACAGTGCTAATTAAATGGCAGCAACCATTACCACTACTCTTGTTTTAGTACAGCCCGTACTGCTCTTATTAACAGCATCATTATCATCCACAAACAAGGCTTCTGCTTTATGTCCTTTCTCAGGCCAGCAACTTAGGCATGGGGCAGGGTGGCTTCCAGAGCATTGTGGGAAACTCAGACACCAATGACAACAGCAGCTAATCTTTCGGGAGCATCCTTTCACTTAACAGATAATGGCACACACACAGTTTCATTGACTCGCACCTCGTGTCTCAATTTAGAGATGAGGAATTGGACACACCCTGTCCAAGGTCCTGCAGCTTGGAATCCCAGGCCTGTAGGAGGTGCTAAGCTCATATTCACGGCCAGGGTACAATGGCCCAGTGTGTGCGTGCAGACAGTGAAACCGCAAGCCTCAGGCTGCTGATGTCATTCTAAAGCTGGGATCTGGCCGCTTTCTCCTCTGCTGGCGCTTGGGCAGTGTCTGCCCCGGAAGACCTGGGTTCCTCCTCCTAGGGATACACCTGCTGCTCGCGGCCCCCAACCCTCAAGGACCTGTTGTTCGCAGGGGCTTTCTCTTTGCCGGTGTCCTCGGCACTCCTCATGAGCCAAGAAAGTGTCTTACTCAGCCTACATCCCCCAGGGCTCAGGCTAGGGCTCGGGCCAGACCACAAGTTCTCATGAAATGCTTGGTGGTTCCAAAGAAGAGGGGTCAGTGAGTTACAGCCGTGCGTCTCATCGAGCCTACCATCGTGTTTGTAAGTGAAGCTTGCTGTTTGTGAGGAGTCTACGCTACAATCGCAGAGCAGAGTAGAACTAAGGGACCAGAGGACCCAAAACTCTTTAAAGAGACCCTGCAACAGAACCAAAGCACCTCGGGTGAATGACCCTGCGGGAGGCAGAATAATGGTCCCAAAGATGTCCATGCCCTAATTCCTAATCCCAAGGATCTGGGAACATTTTTCCTTAAATGACAAAAGTTTTACAGAAACATGATTATACTCATTCATTTACATTGGGAATCTTTCCTCACATACTCTGTCTGATGAGACACCAATGTTTCCTCAAACCTAGACTCAGGAAAGTCCTTATCACCCGACAACTAATCAAAGCTTATTTTTATTTTATTTGAGAGATAGATAGATAACCTTCCTCCCATTTGCTGGTCCAGCGTCCCATTGTCTGCAACAGCTAGAGTTAGGCCAGGTCAGAGCCGGGAGGATGGAACTAAACCCAGGCCTCTCATGTGGCAGAGACACAAGCACTTGAACCATCACTGGCTGCCTCCAGAGCACATGCACATTAGTGGGAAGCTGGATCAAAAGCGGGCCTGGGACTTGAACCTGACCAGGTGCTCTGCTATAGGATTTGGGCATCCCCAGCAGTGGCTTAACCTGCTCCATGGCGTCCATTCTCATCCCTGGTGTACCCTACCGACGCTGTGAGTATGAACCTCTGTGGGTGGACTCGACATTCAGATCTGCTCCCTTCTGAAAGGGCTCTTGCCTCCCTCATGGGGACCCATTCACTTTGTGACGGCCAACCAAGCTGGGCATCTCCTCTTGGAGCTTCCCCACTTGCTCTCCATTCTGCTCATCTGCGCGGTCCACACCAATGGGCTGCCTGCCCTCGCGGCTTCCCCCTTGGGTTCATCCAGTGCAGAACTCAGCTGACCACTGGAGAGGAGGAACGTGAGTGCAGGCAGAGTAGTCATTGATTTCTCTCTGTGCATCTCCTTGTGCTGGTTCTGATCCCAGGCAGCCTCCCCCCCATATAGCCCATTCACCTCCCTCTCCCTTCTCTTTTCTCTCTTCCTCCTCCTCTTTTCCTCTCTACCCGCTCTCCCTCCCCTCCTTCCCTTATCTCCCCATCTCTGTGTCTCTCCCTCATCTCTCTGTCCCCTCTCCTTTCCTCTTCTGACCTGGGGACAGTTTTTGCTCATAGGTGCTGCACCACCCACAGGACTTCCCTATACCTCACCCACACCTTTGCAAACAGTCCCTGTATTTAAGCTGTCTTCATTTGAGGTTTGCCTTCCAGCTCTTCCCAGAATCTTTGACACCAGCTAATCTCTGTGCTGGTTTACAACCTGCACCGGAGGAACTGAGTTTGCTTGGCCAATGATCTATGTGACACACATGCTGGCAGCAGGCTTGGCGCCATCAAAAACAGTAAACAGCCTGAAGAGTCAGTCCTGTGAGGACACAAGCTTATCTGCAATTGTGATCAGCCCCTCCTAAGACAATCGTGCTGAGAAAGAACCAGTCCTGGGGACAAATATAAAGATGTAAGTGGGGCCGGTGCTGTGGTGTAGTGGGCAAAGCTGCCGCCTACAGTGCCAGCATCCCATTTGGGCACTGGTTCGAGTCCTGGCTGCTCCTCTTCTGATCCAGCTCTCTGCTATGGCCTGGGAAAGCAGTAGAAGATGGCCCAAGTGCTTGTGCCCCTGCACCTGTGTGGGAGACCTGGAAGAAGCTCCTGGCCCCTGGCTTTGGATGAGCCTACCTCCAGTATTTGTGGCCATCTGGGGAGTGAACCAGCAGATGGAAGACCTCTCTCTCTCTCTCTCTCTCTCTCTCTCTCTCTCTCTCTCTGCCTCTCTTTCTCTCTCTGTGGAACTCCAACTTTAAAATAAATAAGTAAGTCTTAAAAAAAAAAGATGTAGGGAAGGGTGCTTATTAATCCCACATTCCATAGCACCCATGCACTGGTGGCTTCTGCCTGTGAACTTGAATTTGGCACAGTAAGAAGTCAGCACCTGCCAGGTGGTTGGCCATTTTGTTCCAATGATTAAACAGTGTCTAGACCAAGGGTGATGTCCAGCTTGGACCACCCACTCCCTGACATTCGGGGCAGGGCCGGGGGGGGGGGGTCTCGACAAAATACAGTACACTTAAAATAAAGAGAATGGGTTGAGAATGTCTGAGAAATACAACCAATCTTTTTATTACAGATTAATTAATTTGAAAGAGAGAGAGAGAGAGAGAGTTAGTTCCTCCATCCACTGCTTCACTCCCCAAATGGACACAATGCCTGTGGGTGGGTCAGGCTGAAGTAGGGAGCCCAGACTCCATCCAGGTCACCCACATGTGTGGGAGGGGCCCAAGTGCTCAGGCCATCACCTACTGCCTGCTCAGGCAGATTAGCAGGGAGAGAGATGGATCGGAAGCAAAGCAGCCAGGACGAGGGTAGCAAGCAGTGGCTTGACCCACCACACAGCATGCTGGCCCCGCACCCCAAGTTTATTGTATCAGAAAACACTGAAGGCCCCTAGCACCTTCCCTGTCAGGCGTCTAGAGCAAATGCAGGGGGAAGGGCAGCGGAAAGGGGCTTCCCAGCAGAAGTAGGGGTAGTTTTGGCTTCGCCTACCCCTGAGAAGCATTAAACAGAGTGGGTGGAAGGAATCACTATGGTGCGTTTGGACTCATCATACATGTTTGCTCCTGGTAAGTACTGGAGTTTGGACACCATGGTGTGGGGGGCCCTGGGGTTCTGAGAGACCCCACGGGTACTACCCAAGGGTCAGGAAGAGGGACTTGGGACTCAGATCCAAATATTCCTCTCTCAGTCCAGTTAAGGGATGGCTGCACTCAATCCTAAGCCAGAATTTTCTATGAGTGTGTACAGGGATAAAAAGACAGAGATTCTGGGGCCAGCACTATGACGTAGCAGGTAAAGCTGCCACGTGAGGTACTGGCATCCCACATGGGCACCTGTTCGAGTCCCAGCTGCTCTGCTTCCAATCCAGCTTCCTGCTAATGCACTGGCCCCTGCCACCTATATGGGAGACCTGGAAGAAGCTCCTGGCTCCTGGTTTCGGATTGACCCAGTTCCAGCCATTGCAGTCATTTGGGAAATGAACCAGCAGAAGAAAGATACCTCTCCTCTCCTCTCCTCTCTCTCTCTCTCTCTCTCTCTTTCTCTGAACTCTGCCTTTCAAATAAATAAATCTAACCCCCCCCAAAAAAAAAACAGAAATTCTACTTAAAGGTGGTGAAATCCACTGTTTCACCATAAGAAGACAGAGTCTCTGGGCCGTGAACTCCACGAGGCAGGTCCCTGTCTGCTTGTGCCCTGTGGTTCCTCCTGTCCTAAAAACAGAAGGCCCCACTGGTTCTAGTCTGATGAGCAGCCAATCAGAGGTCCAGGAAGGGCCAGTCACTGTCCATGGTGCTGATTCACTGGGTGGTGCAGCTGGGACAGAAACACTCACCCCTTGATATGCAACAGTGGTCCCTTCTCTCACCTTGATCTTCTGAAAAAAGAACTTGTGCCAGTAATTTGTAAACAGGAGCCTGGGTGGTGAGCATGATAATTGATTAAATGTCTTCAGATGCATTTCTTGAGGGTGAGTCTCTGCCAGACAACTCCAGTCTAAATGCAAATATTGCCTGGGAAGTAGCACCCCATTCTTGGCCCCTTGTCACTATGACAGACGTACAAGTCAGCCTCAGAAGAGGCCAGTTACTGGGCAGAGAGCAGAGAGCTTGACAAGGGAGAGGAGGCAGTAGGGGTATGTTTGACATGAGTGCAGATCTTGACCCCTAGAAGTGTGGATGATGGGGGTCAGCCTGCAAACCAAACCAAGACTCATCACTTACTGTGTGTGTGTGTGGGGGGGGGTCTCTTGACTTCTCTAAGCTCTCATTTATAACTTGGGAATGATCATCATAGGGGCTCCAGGAAATTGTGAGGACAA